AGTTGACTTTACACATATTGTTAAAAGTTCAATAATGGTGTTAATGCTTAGTTGTGTGCGTTCTTTAAGATCGGTGTCATTTTGTAATTTTTGTTTGATGATATTTAAAGTTTTATCAACAGGAACGTTAGTGAATAGACTAACAACAACTTACTAGAATATTGTTTGGATTTATGTCTATGTCTGATAATTTTTGTAAAAAATGTTCAGAATTTTTAATATAGGAAGTTGTGTTATTTATTAGGGGATTTAAAATGTTTAAAAGAGATTTGGCTAAGAGATGTGTAAGTGAATTTATACCACTAACTATTGGTCGTAAAGGAATATTAACTTTATGAATTTTTGGAACTCCGTAAAAATGTGGTGTTTTACTATTGTGTGGTGTTAATTTTGATCTAACCTAATCTGTAAATTCATGTAAAATTTTTTTAAAGTGTTATAAATTTGCCTTTCAAATTTTCATTTTGCGAAATACCCAACAAGAAGTTTGTAAAACAATGAATCCGCCTCAACAACTGAACTTATTCATAATTATATGTTCCGTGACTTTGGGCAGTGTTTACACTTTTTATAATTCGATTCGATACGAGTACTTTATTTCGATACCAAGTATTTGTTTCAATCAATTACAAAGTAATGATCAATTACCAAAGTACTCGGTGTCGAAATAAAAATAATGAAAGTCCTACTTGTATTTACTTGTATCGAATAATCCCTATCTAAGAGGAGGCACTTCACGTAAGAGTGTCATAACGCATATTGATCTAATTGATCTAGTCGTAATATGGTATCAATATATATATGGTATAAAAGTCAGGCTGGCTCAGTAAGGGTGACATAACTCACGTTTAATTATGTTTATCAATTTTCACTATTTTCAGTCGAGTTAAGACGATTGACAACAGTCTTGACTGTGAAAGTAGGTTTACAGTTTTGATAATTTGATTATTTACGACGATGCGATACTTCGATTCGATACGAGTACTTTATTTTCAACGATTCAATTACGAAAGTACTCAGTATCGAAACAAAAGTATCGAATACCTACTTGTATTTACTTGCATCGAATCATCCCTACTTGCGCCACGAAAAGAATACTCACACAGCACGTGAAGCACGACTTGCTTGGAAGCGTCTTCCCCAATTCCATTGCTGGCTGTGCACTGGTAGGTGCCTGCATGGTGCCGATCGACGCGATCCAGGGACAGGATCGAAGTGATTGCCGTTTGGTCCCCGCCAGGCAACAGATTGTTCTTCCTGGACCACGTCAGTCGCGGGATCGGATTTCCCACTGCTTTGCATTCCAGTAGAACCGATGATCCTTTCTTCACCTCCACGCGCCCGTTGGAGGACACGTACGTTATCCGGGGCGGTTCTGCAAAAAAACACAAGCTGCACTTCCAGCTGATGGAACATCAACCTTCTGGAGCCGCAACTATGGGCCGAACAGAGTCAAGAAGACGCTAATTTATACAACACGTGCTTGCATTTTGGTGGTGGTTGATTAGGCTTGTAATCGACAGGCTCTAAAATTAAGCTCCAAAGTGTGTTTTGAGTGTTTTTAAAATAAATATTGTAAAAATGCCCCATAAGTGTTGTGTACCCAAGTGCAAAGGAAATTATAGTGGCGAATCAACAGTGAGCGTGTTAAGTTTCAACAGTGGCTGCGAGCAATATCTCGAGACAATTTTCAGCCCACGAAAAACAGCAGAATTTGTCTACACTATTTTCGACAAGATAGTATAATATGAATAAGTACTTCCTATAACGAAAAAACCGGTAAAATCCAAAGTTGCAACCAGGTTCGATTCCAACCATTTTCCCCAATTGTCCTGCTTACATGTCAAAATCTAACTCAATAAGTAGACAAAGTAGAGATAGAAAAAAAGAATTACTCGAACAGGAACATTTACGAAAAGCTCTCGCAGAAAGTAAAAACAGTTTCCTCGCGTATAAGAAGTCAGTTTGAAGATTTTGAACAATTTATGTATATTTTCAACTCTTGGTCCCTCCCTGATGAGTGGCATAAAACAATGACTAAACAAAATCAACTAATTCCATTTAAAATTGGGAATTCTCCTGGACCGGTTATCACATACTCAATTACTATAAATTCAAATTTAAAATTAGAAACTTACTTATTTGAACAGGAAATTTTTTTGCAGGTTGACAAATTTAAATCTACATTTGTTTCGAACGACATCAACATTTTATCTAGTTTATTAGAAGAAATTAATAATATAACAGTTAACAAAAGTGACGAGTCAACTATTAAACAAAACCAAACGTACCAAAGCAGCATAAATCACATTTGTAACATTTAAAAAAAATTGAATTGTGAAGACAATAATGACCTGTTAGTTTTTGTTTCTGAACAGCTAATTATGTCTACACAATCCAAAGTAAGATATCGATATTCACCCGACACTATAATTCTATGTTCGATATTAAATACAATAAGTTCACACAGCGACAGGTATTTAAGACATTACAGTGCTTTAATTCTACCACACCCCAGCACATTGAAAACTGTCTGTGATTCTTTTGTAACAGATTTTTCTGCCGAGGAGACATTCCTTTTTGAACTACGCAAAGAATTTGCTCAAATACGTAGAAGACCGGGAAGAATATATCATTTCACTTATGGATGAAATACAGATTAAACCCTATGTGGACTATAAAGGTGAAACTGTCGTAGGCACAGCTATAAATTCTAACACTTTGGCTAATTCTGCATTTACTTTTATGATAACTGGTCTATGTTCTGTCTAATTTCAAAGAAGTTATTTATATCTCACCTGTAACAAAAATTAATCACGAAATTTTATATAGTTTAATTAAATCTGTAATTATTGGTCTTGAAGAGTTCGGGAATGAAATTTTCTGTATTATCACTGAGAACAATGCTATAAATAGTAAAGCTATGAACCTTTTTTGCTAAGCCGGCTAGCTTAAATGCTAGCCGGCCTTTGGTTTACTTATTTAATACAGTGCATCTTCTAAAATGTATTAGAAATAATTGGATAAATTCTAAGCCTGATAAAGTGCTTACTAATCCTGATTTTGAGACAGGTGAGAGAAAGTTTGCTTCATTTACCAGTTTAATTGATCTTTATAACACGGAACATGACAAACTGCTTAAATTTGGATACAATTTAACTGTAAAATCGCTTTTTCCTACAAATTTTCAAAGACAAAATGTTGCGTCTTTTGCGCCAAAAATTACAATTACATTTTTCAAATACTTTTTTAGTATCGAATAGGGACAAAAACGAAAATAAATGTCTCTCGTTCTTCGCCGAAAATCTTTAACGTTTTCTCAAAAACCGATCACAAGACTAAAATGCTTTAATAAAAAACGCAAAAAACGCTTCTTTTCCGATGATTTTCTTCTTTTCTGACAATAATGGGGTCTTTTCAGCCAAAAATGACCAAGTTTATTTTGCTAGAAAATTCTCTTCTTTCATCGCTTTGCCCAGAACTTTAGAAAACTCTTTTCAGCTTCGAATTTGGCACACAATCAGATAATTTTATTTAGTTTTTTACCAAAACTAATTAAAAATATCTTCAAAAGCCGACCAGAACGCAAAAGTTTACAAAATAATATTTGCAAAATTTGCCATCTTCATCGCTCTGAATACTTTTTTTAAATAATTTAATAAAATTTTCGGTCTTTCTAGTTTAAGCAAAGATTAATTATATCAAGAGATTCTTCTCTTCCTACGCAAAAAAGGATTATTTTTCAGTTTTACTCAAAAATATTGACATTCTTCAGGTATTTTCTGTGAAAAATTATAAAACAAATTGTATTTAACACTTTTCAGCTTCGAGCTTTGAACAAATCCCTAATAACTTTTTCTAGATTTTTTCCCAGCAATATTTCCCCGAGCAGAACAAGCGAAAGTTTATAATCAATTATTTGGAAAACGCGTCATCTTCGTCACTGAATAATCTGTTTTTTTTGTAATTCCGGTTTCTTCAGGTTTAGATCGATATTTCTAAACAAAACCGTCTCCAAACGGAAAACGCGTTTTTTCCTAACGTTTTGCTGTTTGAATACTGCCAAACTGAGAGTCTTTTGTGCAAAAAAGCTAGGAGATCGACTTTACAAGAAAACTCGTTGTCATTCAAGTCAAGATTATCATAAATTCTGTCACTAATGCTCTTTTAAATAATTATTGTGGCAAAAGAAATGACACCATTGGAAAGGGGAATAAAAGAAAGTTAGATACTCTCACTAAATAAAGTTGGTAGATTATTAGCAATTGTATTCTTCACTATTTAAAACAATTAGAACGCTTCGGAAACATGAAAGCCATAGCTGAAATTAAAATATTTGTGACTAGTTAACTACGTTAATTTTTTAGGAGGAGAAAGGCTAATAATTTGAATCAAACAAAATAAAAAGCATATTAATTCCTGAAGACATTATTTTTGTCTAAAATATTGATATTCGTACAGTTGATCCATCATATACTCCGCTACGTGTTATGCCTGGTCGGGCTACTCTAAGTGACGTCACAATTCAGCCAGTGGGCCTTCTTTATTTCGGTGGTAACGCTCTAAGCGGGCTGCGGTGCCTCTTTGTGTCTCCAAGAATGCGGAAATGTGTGTCACATTAGAGCGGATTTAAATCGGGAAAGCCCCGATAACTATCACACCTCAACGGGCACCGGCAAAGCCGCTTTGTCCTCTCTTATCCCGCCTAGTCAACTAATTTCGATCAAACTCTTGTTGCAAGGTTGATTAAATTTATCTCTGACACACTTTGGCCCAGAGAAACAAGGAAAAACCTACCGAGAACTTCCAAAGTATGCGTAATCTCTCTTGGTTCCAGCGTACCAATCTGGCAAACGTAATCGCCAGAGTCTTGAGGTCCGACTTCGCGGATTTCCAGGTTGAATCCGTTGATTAGCTGGACGCGTGGATCGGGCGAAACTTTCACAGATCCTGCCGATAGAACTGCTATCCCTTTCTTCCACGCCAGCACATATGGTCCTGCAAAAGGAACAATGATCCTCACTTTAGCGGAATGTTTTAAGCTTGAGCGCCTGTATAAGAACAAGAAGTCGCCATCTATCACACTATATCTCGACTTGGTCTATTTTAAACGAATAAAAGATATTGTCTGGAGGCAATTTAACGGATTTCGGCTCGGCGAGGGCCCGAAGGCAATAAGATTTCAATCAAACCGGCAATGAATGGCTTCGCGATGCATCCCGCATAACAACTAGAGTTTTAACTGTTTAAAAGTAAAACATTCTTGGGCGATTTTCCAAACGCTTCGGCTCAGAATTCCAATTTAGGCCAGTTATTTTTAAATATCGGCAGCTCGCAGGCTCTTAGGCTACATGCAAAAGTCGTTATAATACTTTGAGGATTGGGGGGGTGACGTGCGCTGAAACTTTAATAGGGGTAACTTTTTTGAGCTCTTTTACGTGCTTGTATGCCTTAATAATTTAGCACGATTGCAAAGTCGGTCTGGGTAACACAGTGATTTTTGGGAGTTGACGCAGTGCTACGCAAATGATTTGGTGCGCCAACCAAACGTACCGGCGCAGTGACTCAGTTCCGTTAGTTTTTTTTAGATCCATTTTAAGGGCCATTTATTAATAATATTTTCAGTTTCTTAAAAATTTCAGAACTTTCCAGTTTTAGCAAAGCCAGCAAAGTTACTCTTTCTTCTAAACGCTCAGTTTTCTAGAGGTGCACTTAAAAACACTGGCAATCTTAAGGTGTTTTCCGCGAAAAATATTGAAGTAAATTTCGTTAGAACACTCGCAAAAATCAAATAATTTTCACTCAAAAAACGAACAGAATAAGCAAAAGTTTTTAACAAATTATTTGCAAAACTCCATTCATCTGGAGACTGTAGAGTTTGTTAAAAAAATGTGGTTTTTTAGTTTTGACTGATTTTTTGCTTTACTTTCCACTCAAAAACGCTCTATTTTGTAGAGTTTCACTTAAAAATACTGACGATCTGAAGGTGGTTTGCCCGAAAAATTACAAGATTAATTTATGGCTTTGTAGGAATTTTACAAAAACCTTTTTCAGCATCTGGGACAAAAACGAAAATAAATTTATCTCGTTCTTCTCCGAAAATCATTAACGTTTTCTCAAAAACCGATCACAAGACTAAAAGGTTTCAATAAAAAACGCAAAAAACAATTATTCTCTGATGATTTTCTTCTTTTCTGAAAATTTGCTAGAAAATTCGCCTTATTCATCGGTTCCCTGCAGAACTTTAGAAAAGCCTTTTCAGCTTCGAATTTAGCAGAAAAACGAAATAGTTTTATTGAGTTTTTACCGAAAGTAATTTAGATTATCAAGAAAAAACAACCAGAGAGCAAAAATGTACAAAAAAATATTTGTAAAATTCGCCACCCTCATCAGTCCGAAAACTTTTTAAGTTTCTTTAAAATTTCAAGTCTCCAGTTTTAGCAATGTTTTTATTAAGCAAATATTTATACGCAAAAAACGCATTATTTTTTAGTTTTACTTGCAAATACTGACAATCCTAAGGAATTTCTGTGCACCTGAACACTCGCCTCCTCAACCACTTTGCAAAAATTTTTGGAAAATCTTTTGCAGCTTCGAATTTTGAACAAATCCTTAATGATTTTTTCCCGAAATATTTCCCCGAACAGAAAAAGCGAAAGTTTGTACTCATTTATTACGAAAACTCTTGGAAACTGGGGTTTCTTCACTTTTAGGTCAATATTTCTAAACAACACTGTCTCTAAACCGACAAACCGCGTATTTTCCTAACTTTTACTGTAAAATACTGGCAAACTGAGTATTTTATGCAAAAAATTAAGGGATCGATTTTTGCCTACTCAGAAAAAGTGTTGATGACCTGTTTTTAAATGTTAAAATTTAAGTCTCGGGTCTCGTAAAACTTTAACCCGCTTTAGTAAATGACTTATACTTCATTAACCGGTGCGTTATAACTCGCTAACTCAGAGAGTGGCAGCAACTCAACACAGTGTTACCCAGGCCTATTGCGAAGTAAATGCACTCAGTTCCGCTATAACTGTGTGTGTCATGTATTGCCGGATTGTGAAAGGTATTTTTTACTCGACTAATCTCCAATCAGGAGCTGATTTAGTCAGTCATGATCACATGCAGGGCTTCTCTGGCACCCGATAAAAATATGCCATTGATTCGCAGTATCTTTGTGCGGTGCCATAAATTCGCGCCTGACAATAGCGCATTTCTCGACTTATTCTTGCCGATAAAAACGCAATTCCGCCACTCGACGCACGTCCCAAAAATGTTAAACATTCCTTTCACCGATATTCGCTTTGCGCGGTTAAAGGAAATGTACTTATAGTAGCGGAAAATAGGTTTTCCGCTCGACAAACGGCAAATCGACTCAACCAATACAGGACCCCACCCCGAAATCAAATCGATTTTTAACTGTTCTGCGCCTGGAATTCATTCATATTTCTGCCCGATCTACAGGTTTGTTCCCATCTACAATGACAATTTTTACTCCACAAAAGTTTTACCCACATGGCAAAATGATATTCCCAGAATATACCTGGAACATTCATGTGATGTATATGCATATTCCTGGGACTTACATGAGTTACATTATGAACATTCCATGCATGTCCCAGGAATCTGTCAGAGTTAATACACTAATGTTCATGGTATGTTCTGGGAATGTACATGGTATGTTCAGTGAATGTACATGTGTATGTTCAGTGAATTTATATGGTATGTTCAGGGAATATACATACATATATGTAACGAAAGAAAAACGATACTTTATTTCCTCTTATTAGTTTATTCACATATTTAAGTATTTACTAATGTAATTTATCAACAGCAAGAGTTACTTGCAACTAATCTAAAACTAATTAATTGGATAATAAATAAATTAAAATATAACTTATAACTACGGACTAAAAATCTAAATTAACATTTTCAGAATTTTTGCCGTTGTCGCAATGATGTGTGACTGTGAGATAAAACACAAACCTTTATCTAAAAAACTGCACTTATTATTTTATATTTCTTACATGTTCCCGCTCTGTGGCTTTTGCCCTTTCATTTTGTTCTCGATCAATTAAAGTGTTTCGCAATGTGCTCTTAACAAAAATTCTATA